GTTCAGCCCCAACGTGCCGGAGAAGACCCTGGGCGCCAGCGGGCGCTACGAAGGCAAGATCGCGCGCAGCTCGGAGCGCTTCAAGGAGCTCACCCCCAACTACAATCCCGACATCATCTTCAAGGACGAGGAGAACACCGGTGCTGACCGCCTCATGACCCAGGTGAGACACCCTCCCAGCGCGCCATCGAAGCACCGCCACCTGCCCGGCCCTATCCTCTCTCCTGGCACCTTTTCCCGACTGCCTGGCACGCCCCCTGGCACCTGCACTCATGAATCCCGGGTGTCTTTCTGCCCAAGACGGGCTGGTCAAGGGACCCCGCGGGAGTGCTGGCATCCCGGATCCTGCCGGTGTCTTTGAGAGGAGTTCTTTGCTGCTGCCAAGTCCCACAGCACAGCAGGTTAGCGGGCGGCCCCTCTGCCCGCAGCTCAGGTCAGATCTGGCACTCGAAGGTACCTCAACCTGGCTGCCTCTTGCGCCTTGGAGGACCACTCCATCTCTCCTGGCCTAACATTTCTCACAGCCCAGCCCTGGTCATTTAAAAGCCACTTGGCACCCCTAAGGCCAAGAAACTCAGGACATCAGGGACCCCCCACACACACACACACACCGTCGTGGTCTTTCCTTCCCATGTGCCCTCCATTAGCTGCGCTGCCCTCTCCTGGAGCTGGGTCTTGGCTGGCTCTGGGCTTAAGGAACAGCAGGGAAAAGTTGAGCTTGAAGGCAGAGGTAGGAAAGGGAACCAGCCGAGTAAGCCCACGTGTCTGTCGCGAGGGTTGAGCGGCGCGGTTGCGGTTAAAGGGTGGGGTGCTGGAGCCTCCAGGCTCTGGGACCAAGCTTGGGGGAATCCTTGGGTTCGGTGGCACGGACAAGAAGGATTGGAAATAGGATTAGGGATGCCTAGGAAGGCAGGGAACGGAGCTGACACTAACTTATCTCTCCTTGCGCGGAGTAGGACCCATCTCTGCCAGACATCAGGGTCTCACACTTCCTTCTCCGAAGCCCGGTACGCCTTGGGAAAGACATATGCCCCTTTCCGCTGGGGTCTACCCGCTCATTCCCTGGTTAACAGGCTGCCCCTTTTCTAAGTCTTTAGAGAGAGCAGCTAAACCACGGCCTTCAGCATGCGCCCTGGCGCCGGGCCCGGCCGGCCGATGTCGGGGCCGAAGGTTGGCCGGTGGCCGGGCCGGGCTGGGCGCCGAGGAATGCAGATAAGGATCCGGGCCACAGGCTGGGCAATCATTGACAGCGAGCGCCCAGGCTCTGCACCAGAAGGAGGGGGTAGAGGGGAAGAGTCGAACGGGAGCTGGCTAGTAAGGCAGACAGCCATACATAAGGTCTAAGGACCGGATCACGAGTATCTAGAAGGAGCTGGCAGGGCTATCCTCTCCGGGGGGAGGTTTAGCACCCCCAAACCAGGCTGCACAGTCGGGAGGACTGACTAGGCCTTGGGTTATAGTCACTCTTGGCTCCTGGGAGGTTAAGTCCAAGGGTCTGTGGGACCCGAGCTCAGTGGGGCAGAGGTAGGTTGATATTTGGCGGGCCTAGCACCTCACCTCGATGGAGGGTCCCTTCCCCGCAGGCGAGAACTTCACCCCATTCTCTCAGTCAACTGCACAGTCCCCTGGGTGAAGGGCCAGGACCCTTGAAGAGGCAGCCACCCAAGGGCACAGCCCTATCCCCACACTGTTCAAGGAAGATCCTGAAGATTCAGAGCCGGTTTCCTGAGATCAAAGGCTCCGGTTCTTCTCTGGCCCCTTCCTAAGTAGGGACAATGCACCCTGGAGGAGGTGTGAGAGCTCCCTGGTCCCTCGCGGGGTGTGTGTGTGTGTGGGGGGGGTTACTCTCTGTCCCAGTCAGATGGGCAGGGTACTGGCTCTCTGCCTGTAGTCTCCAGCTAAGCGTGGGCAGGCGTGGGCTCAAAAGAAGGTCCTAACAGGAATGTTTATGTGATACTTGCTGGAGTGATCTAAGTAAACCTGAAAATTTCCTCCACGTTGGCCGGGTCTGCACCTGCCGTGCTGGCAAGGCTCAGTGTCCTCAATGTCGGGTGGCCTCAGCTCTGGGGCTGCGGTGACACCTACTGGGCACCTTTGGCCTTGCATGCCTAGCAGGTCAGCCCGCAGGCAGGGGAGTGATACAGTCTCCCCCTTAACCCGCTCCAGGCCCTGGTGCCTAGGTAAAAAGGAGAAACCCGACTCTGGAAAAGCGTAGCTACATTTGTGGCGAAACCAAACGCTAATCAGGGAGAGGGAGCCAAACGGAACTCCACTGACTGGAGAAGAGTCCCCTGGGGGTGCGTAACTCCATGCGCCCTCCAGATATGTGGCGCCACTATGTGGCTTAGTTCCCTGGGGACTCCTGACTGCTAGACTGGGAGAACGCATTTAGAGTCCTCTATTCCTGAGGGAAAAGGGCAGAGGTCCTCCCAAGTTTTCCAAGTCCCTTGAGTGCTGTGGGAGAGTCTGAGGAAACTTGTCTGTTACCTGCACCCCGGTAGGGCCCCTTTCCCTAACTCTGAGCTCCGCTCCTCTCCGCAGCGCTGCAAGGACCGTCTGAATTCGCTGGCTATCTCTGTCATGAACCAATGGCCGGGTGTGAAGCTGCGGGTGACCGAAGGCTGGGACGAAGACGGTCATCACTCAGAGGAGTCTTTACACTATGAGGGCCGTGCGGTGGATATCACCACCTCAGACCGAGACCGAAATAAGTATGGACTGCTGGCGCGCTTGGCAGTGGAGGCCGGCTTCGACTGGGTGTATTACGAGTCCAAGGCCCACGTGCATTGCTCTGTCAAGTCCGGTGAGCCGCTGCCGGGGGGCTGGGCCCGGGGCCGGGGCCGCAGGGCATGGGCAGGCAGCGCAAGGCCCGCTAGAGCCAAGAAGGTGAAGATGGCCTCTAGGGGATGGAGGCGGGGAAACGAGGGAAAAGGATTTCGGAGGCGGCGGCGGCGGCAGCGGCGCTCCCGGCAGCTGCTTTGGACTGCCTGTTCCTCCCATGTCCGGTAGTGCCACGGCAGGAGCCTAGAGAGACAGGGCCTATTCCCGCGCCACTGAGTGCTGATGTGGTGGTCCACAGCCCAAAGGCTGCCACAGGTGCAAGACAGAACAAGTTGAAGAGATGGAGGAAGCCAGGCTGGCAGGCACCGCCACTCCCCCCTCCGCCCCCGCCCCAGTCCAGATCCAAACAGAACAAGGCATGGTGGGGCGAAGGGACAGAGTGTGTCCAGACATCAATATGCCTGACCAGGAGCCCAAAGGTTCAGAACCTATCACCCAATATGCAGGTCAGGCCTCCCAGTGGGGCGCAGGCGTCCCCAACCTCTTCCCCAGAACCCCGAAGCTGGACATTTTGGGGTAAAGCCCAAAATAAAGTGGACTCAATAAAGTGGATTTTCCCAGATTGGCCGCCTTGTTGATCGGAACTGGCAGGCACTGGAGCCTTGCCCCTCATCCCCAGTCTCACCAGTGTCCCTATCGCTTACACTTAACCCACTCATGAAAGTTTCACATGAAAGTTTCACTCTCCTTTGGGCCTCGGTTGGCTGCAGGCTCCACCCTCTCCGTGGGAACATATAGTAGTTGCACTCACAGACTAGCTCTTTTTTGGTATTTTTGATCCACCTGGGGTCACAAGGGTGATCCTACCAACAACCCCTGCCCACAACCTGACCCTTCCAACTGTGTGTACTTAAAATCATATCCACCTTCATCTAACATACTGACCCAAGGTCAACTCCCCAAGCGGTCACTTCTGTTCATTACTTCCGGCCCCAAACACTGTCCCCCATCCCACCACCGTCTGATGCCACTGTGTCCAGTCCCTACATAAGTGACCAACACATGAGCTGAAAATGACTTATCCCTGAGCTCTCACTCTGAGGGTGTTTTAGGAGTTTGTCTTCTCCATGGGCTGGCCTTCCTCTGCCTTCCATAGACTCAAACGGTCAGCTCTGTCCTAGCACTTGGAACATCCAGTCCCGGAGGGCCATTTCTTGGACGTATTTGATCATGTGGTAGAACAGACCATCTAGACCCCAGCAAAGCTAAGCAGCTTCCCACTTCCACAAGACAAGACGGTGGCTTTCCTGGGATCAGGCCATGAGTAGCCAATGGCTCTGCTGACCTCCAGTCCCTGGCTGCTTTACAGCAGGACGTGACCAGATGGGAACATCACCTGGTGTTAGGGCCCCAGTGTGCTCCTGTCGTTGACCAGGGCTGGGGCTGGGAAGAAGAGGGAGAGGGGATCATAGTATGAGTTGGGATGGGTCATGAGAGGCTGAAGCACAGTGATAAGGGGATTCTCTAAGAACAAGAGCAGCTCCCCTGGGCCAGGGTGGCTGGGAGAGGGGCACTGTACCTGAGAATGTGGTCACCCAGCAGTAACACCTTCATGTCCCTTCTACCCACAGAGCATTCGGCTGCTGCCAAGACGGGTGGCTGCTTCCCTGCTGGAGCCCAGGTGCGCCTAGAGAATGGGGCACGTGTGGCCCTGTCAGCTGTGAAGCCAGGAGACCGGGTGCTGGCCATGGGGGAGGATGGGAACCCCACCTTCAGTGATGTGCTCATTTTCCTGGACCGTGAGCCAAACAGGCTGAGAGCTTTCCAGGTCATCGAGACCCAGGACCCCCCACGTCGGCTGGCACTCACCCCTGCCCACCTGCTCTTCATTGCTGACAATCACACAGAACCAGCAGCCCACTTCCGGGCCACATTTGCCAGTCATGTACAGCCAGGCCAATATGTGCTGGTAGCAGGAATGCCAGGCCTACAGCCAGCTCGGGTGGCAGCTGTCTCCACCCATGTGGCCCTTGGGTCTTATGCTCCACTCACAAGGCATGGGACATTGGTGGTGGAAGATGTGGTGGCCTCCTGCTTTGCAGCTGTGGCTGACCACCACCTGGCTCAGTTGGCCTTCTGGCCCCTGAGACTGTTTCCCAGCTTGGCATGGGGCAGTTGGACCCCAACTGAGGGGGTTCACTGGTATCCTCATCTGCTATACCGTCTGGGGCGTCTCTTGCTGGAAGAGAGCAGCTTCCATCCGCTGGGCATGTCTGGGACAGGAAGCTGAAAGGACTCTAGCCACTGCCCTCCTGGAACTGCTATGCTGGATCCAAATGCCTCCTCACCAGGAAGGCACCTGGCCTGAGGATGCTTGTCTCCATCCTCTGCCCAGAGTGGAGACACCATTGAAACTTGACCAGGTCATAATGGGCCCATACCCTTATCTTGGTGCAGTGGTAGAGCTGTGAACTGAGCTGACAAGGGGGTGGTAGGCTCTCTTTATCCACCCAGCTAGCTCTCTCTTCGATGCTTCACACCCCACCTCCTTACAGAGGGAGGGCCATTCCATCTGTCTTTGGACTGCTTACTCCAGTGTTTCTCGGGCCTGGGTTTGTGACTTCACTGTTGGCAATTGGTCACAGTATGAAGAGAGTCTGCCCTTAGGTGGGCTTACACCTCAGTTGATGCTGCTAGATTCCCTAGGACCCAGTGGGGAGCCAGCTGGACTCATTGCCTCCAAGAACTGAAAGGCCACAGCTATCCTGGCCAACCTGAGACATGACCTTCTCTGAAGACCACACTCCTCCTGACATATCCCCAGACTTTGATGTCAATGGGCAGAGTGTCTGTTCCAGGCAATGTGACCCTAGTACCTGGGACTCAGGGAGGAGCCTGGGTGTCCTTGCCACTTCTGCCCAGGCTAAACTCCCTTGTCTGCTGAACCACAACTCCCACCCCCTCTCCAGTCTGTCTCCCTCACCTTATTTATTTGCATGGAGGGGGAAACCCATGGGAGAATTTTGGGAATATTTTGGTCTTTCCTTTCTTTTGTAATAAAAAAAAAATTATTTAAGTTGTTAGAGCCATGGAATCCAGGATGCTGAGTGGGGCCAATATATAATTAGATACAGTCATGCATGGGTGGTCTTGGTGCCTTCCTTTAAGGTCAAACCTCAGGGCTCCCAGCCTGACTACATGCCCTTTTCACCTGGCAGATGAGTATGGGACAGGGCTTTTACACAGTTTTCCCTAAACATGGCTGTGCCAGAGACAGAACATAGGTCACACACCCAGAACCAATTTACTGTGCCCTAGTGAAAGCTGCTCCCCTGTTTGCCCTGAACCTTCTCAGAGACAGCCCGACTTTTAAACTTTTTTCTATTGGTAATGGCCTGAAGTATGAAAAGAAAAGATTCTATGGAATTTGTGTTTCTAGGTGGCCAATTCTGACTTCCTGGACAAGTCAGAGGTCCCTAAACTAACAGTTGTCAACCATCAGAATTACCTGGGCAGCTTGTGTAAAGGATGTTCTTGACTTCCAGGCTTCTGTCTCCATAGCTCCAATGGTGAATGGCCTGCAGTTGCCACTTAGCTTTTTGTCACCAGGAAGAAAGACTCGAGAAAAACAAAAGAAATGGTTTATTTTATCTCATGGTCTCTGAGGTTTCATTCTATGGCCTGGCAGCTCTGTCCTCTCATGACATCTGGGAAACAGACAGAGAGAGCAGAAGGTCTAGGGTCAAGATCTACCCATCAAAAGACCCCTCCAGTGACCCACTTCCCACATCTAAGCCCCACCTTCTCAGCCCATTCAGTTGAGAACTCATCATTGAAGAAAGATGTTAGTGCCATGACCAAGTTTTCATGGGGGGACATTTCATATCCCAAACTACACCACCACACAGAAGTGTTTCAGTGTCTAGAGAAGACCCAGTTTATTGTCAAAACAGAATAGCACTCCTTATTTTCAGGTCCTCTTGTCTGCCCGAGTCAGATGAGCTGAGGAGAAATAGGCAGTGGTACCCAGGGAACAGCAAGGAAATCAGAAAAACCACACAAAGTGCTGTTCCTGAGCTGGACAAGGTGTCACTTGCCTATAATCCCAGCGCTTGGGAGACTGAGGCAGAAGGATTGAGAATCAAAAGTCAATCTGGGCTATGCCATGAGATACTGTTTCAAAACAAAACAAATAAACATCTTTTAGCTGGTCATGGTGACACTTGCCCATAATTCTAGCACTCAGGAGACAAAGCAGGAGGATTGTTAGAATTCCAGGCTAGGTGGGGCTACGTAAGACCTTGACACAGAATAAACAAGCAAACAAACCAACAAGTAAACATTGCCCTGGGGAGTGGTGCCCTAGATCCCCACAGGATGTCATCTAATGAAGACTATTGCTAAGCATTATTCTAGACTTTACCCTTGCCGCCTATTGAAAGCTTATAACAACCCCATGTGGTATATACTAGATGTCGCCATTTTCCAAATGACAACACGCTGGACATGACACTGCAAGGGATAGAAGTAAGATTTGTATCCTTCTAGTTTGCCTCTCAGGCCACCATTGCTATAGGCTTTCTTTTCAAGGGGTGAACTCGTGACCACTCTGGAAGGACACTCCTGGCATTCCAGGCCTGGAAGTCTGCTGTGTTGGCACGTCTAAATAGATAGAATGCACCTATCTCTCTGTAACAGATCCTTGCTCAACAGGCTAAAAGGTCCACAGCTCTTATATAATGAGAAATAAGAGGTGACAATTACCATATCCTTATCTATTTTCTTTCCTGTTCTTTCCCGGTAGACTTTCTTTTTTAAAAAATAATTTACTATTTATTTTTATGTGCATTGATGCTTTGCCTGCATGTATGTCTGTATGAGGATGTCAAATCTTGGAATTACTGACATTTGTTAGCTGCCATGTAGATGCTGGGAATTGAACTCCAGTCCTCTGGAAGAACAATTAGTGCTCTTAACTGCTGAGCCATATCTCCAGCCCCCCTGGTAGACTTTCTATTTGATAGATCAGGTTATAATGACAGTTGGAGAATATGGATGCATGGAGTACATGGCTCTCCAGGCCATGGAGGACAAAGGGGGAGGGGGAGGGGAAGATAGAGCATGAGGGGGATACAGATCAGGGAGCAGGGGAGAAAACAAAACAAAACGGGAAATTAAATTAATAATGACAATAATGGCAATCACCATAGTCTTGCCAAGGTAACAGGAGTCAGGGGGAAAAGGCTAGAGTCAACGAAAGGGCCTGGAGAGCTTGAAGCAGGGAGGGGCTCATGACCAGAGTTTCTGGAAGATTCTCTGGCTTCTGTAAGGAAGAGACACTAGTCGGGACAGCATAGAAGCAGGGAGTCCATTGACTGGGGAAGTGACCATGGGTCTAGAGAAATGGTGATGGATTATAGATATTTGAGCAACAAAACCAAAGAGTGAAGCCAAGACTAGACGGGTTGTGGCGGTCAGGAAAAGACCAAAGTGCAGTTTGGGGCTTGTCAGTGTGGGCTTCTCATCTCCCACCTACAAGTACCGTTTGGCTCAGTGGCTACCCCTGAAAGGGTTTTCAGTGTTTTCTCATACAGCTGTCCTGTCTCCTTGTTGCTGAAAGCTGGTTTTCCTGGGCACATGAGCCCCCGCACCACAGTTCCTGCTGTCTCTGCCTGCACCCTCACTCCATCTTGCCTCATTTAGTGCCAGCATGAGAGAATACTACAGGCAGAATAGTTGGTGAAGAAAAGCCATTTCATTCTCAAAGTTCCTGAGGTTTCGTGTCCACCATCAAGGTGTTGGCATCTTGGGGGGGGGGCATGGCCTCTGTTCTGTCCCATCTGATGGTATAATGCCAAATGGCAAGAAAGCTAAAGGAACAGGGGCAAACACATCACTTAATCAGGAACTCACTTGGCAATGACTAACCCATCCCCAGGATATTAACATTCGTGCACTCAAAGGAGTGGCATCCTTCCAATCTTATCACTCTTACAGGTCCTATCTATTAACGCAGACACATTGAGGGTTATTTTTATAGCACATGAATTTTGAAATCAAACCATGGCACCCCTATACCTTGAAAGTGCATGGAGAAGGAACTCAGATTATCCCTCTGTCCACAGGTCCAAATCCACACACCCTGCGGGAGAGACCTGGAGATAGTGAGATTTGGAGTGTTGGGGTTCAGAAAACAAAATTAAACAACTTCCTGGGGGTTGGGGGTCTCTGGAGCTGCCTGGGGAGACTACTCTCAATGAGAGACCCAGTGCAATTAGGTACCCATTCCTGTCTGTGCTGGGGCCTCTCTGAAGGTACTCACCCCAAGTCATTCCTGCAGCTTTCTCTCTTGTTTAGAAATCACCCTGGGCATGGCTCATTGGACGCCAAGTGGTGTCCTCTCCTCTCCTCTTTCACACATGGAAGGCTTTAGACACTGGGTGGACCCTGACCAAGACAGTGGCTCCTTAGGTGGTGGTCTAACACCATGGAAACAGAAACAGGCACTTTCCATTAAAGAGATAAGGCGGGCCCTTTATGGCTCTGTGTTACTTGGTCAAAGGTAGGTGAGTGGATCATAGGGAGCTAGAGTGTGGAAGGGAGGTTCAAGGCGCCCTCAGGGGCTAAGGAAGTAATAGTTGGAGCTCAAGGTGTCAGAAAAGAGACTAGGATGTGTGGTGGGAACTAGGAACTGTGGCAGGGGCAGGGCTAACAGCCTATGTGAAGGGCTCAGCACAACTGCCCAACTGCCCAAAGAGGACCGATTCTAGCATGGAGGCCTTTGAGGGAGAGCGCAGGCCCTATTTCTCACTCCAGAGTGTGCCCCTGGTCAAATAAACCTCCCAGTGGTGACAGCTCCCACTACCCCGTGCCCTCTGGCCTCTGGATGGCTGCACCTGCTGGGGCTCAGCCCCACATCCCACACCCCATTCAGCTTCTGAAAGCCTCTTTGTTTCTCAGGTTGAACCTGGCCAGCCTGGATCTGATAAGGCCTCTTTGGGTAGATAGCAGCCCAGGCCCGTGTGCTACACTGCCTTGAGCCACACCCACTGCCTCACACATGTATGCACGCACGCACACAGCTACCGAGGATCAGCAGAGACTCTGGGGCCTTCCTATCCCAGTCAGGGTGTGTTTGTCCTCTGGTGTAGCCCCAGTTGAAGCCCCTTTAAAATCTCTATCATCCCATGGGGAGGCAGAATAGGAGAATTAGTATGCCTGTTTTCAGAGATGAAAAAAAATTAACTTCCCAGAGAGTAAGCAACTTGTTTGTGTTCACTTCTTCCAATT